AAAAAATATTTTTACTTTTTTTTCGAAATCAGCATTTGTTCATAAAATTTTCAATTTTCGCTTGAAGATACATTTTGGAAATTTTCGAAAATTTAAAATACTGCAAAAAGTTGTTTTTCAAAATTTTCACTTAAATCACTCACAAAACTTCAAAATCAATCCAAACTAAAATTTATGTCCAAACGCAACTTTAAATTTCAAATACCATAACACTTAAAAAAAAATTCACCACTTTTTCGAAATTTACAATTCTTATGTCCAAACGCCTACCTAATTTCTCACCCAAGTAGGTTTTACATTTTTTTAAAAACATTTTTCTTTTCCTTGACAAAACCTTGTTACAATTCTTACAATTTCCTTCTTCCTCTCCCTCTCTTTCTCTCACCCCCACACAAACAATGGATCGAACTCAGCTTCTTCTAGTGGGATTACCCCTTTTCCTATTCATCTCCGATCTCTTCAGTCTTTTTACTCCGCCCCCTCAAAAACCCACTTCCGATCACCACCACCATCAACCGCCGTCAGTTATCCAACAACAACAACCTCAGACTCTTGATTTCCCTACTCAGGTACCTCAAAAATGTTCTCTTTTCTTTCTCTTTCTTTTTAACGAAATTGGTATCTTTAGTTTTAATTTTGAATTCTTTGTTTCGTGTTTGACTTTGCAGAAAACTGGTGGTATTGGTGCAGTTGGTATTGGTAACACCGTCAGCATTGATTTCTGTTCTTCATGTTCTTTCAGGTTTTGTTTCTAATGCTGTTTTTATAACATCATATGGGGTTGCTTGATTTATCGAAATTTTTGGACAAAGTATATTAGTTTAGTATATTCTTGGCAATGTTTGGAATTCTTTCTTCCAATTTCAGAAAATGCTCTCCAATAAATTAGCAATTGAAATGGCATGTTAGCTTATGTGATGGACAAGTTGTTTAAAGTGGGGAAGTCAAGATAATAGGTTATCAGTCAGTTAATAAACTAGGCTTCAGTCCAAACTAGCTGGGGTCGGCTGTGAATAGTTGCGGAGCTAAAGGGAGCCAAGGTGAATCCCCTTCCTCGAAAATCGCAACGAATAAATAGTTAAAAAAACAAAAAAAATTGGTCATATATGAACTGTAAATCCTCTTGACACTGGAGTAAAGGGGTTTCAAAAATTGCCTTAGCTCACAAGTTCAAATCTTAGGTGTGACACTTCAATGCTCATTTTTATGAATCCCCTTGTACCAATTTCGGGCTCCTACCACTTACGGTATAAATCCTCTATATCCTCAAGAAAAAAGATGATAGTGTCAAGAATATTGAGTTATTGAGGAGCATAATCTCTTGGCTTTCTGACATGATTTGAACTCGTTTGATTGAGTGCTTATTTCATTCTAAGTTAAGTGGTGTAATAGTCTTAATTGCAGGACGGAAAAGTGTTTCCAAAACTAAAGGAGAATTTTGGGAACTTCTACTGTGTTGGCCTCTTAGAAGGCCATAACCTTGTTGTTTGATTTGTAGAGAAGACGTTGTACAACTTCCTTGTTCAGTCTGTTGAATGCCATTAAGACACACAAGCCTTTCCCATATCTGCCAAAATACAGAATCCATAGAAGCAGGGTGAGATGTAGAGTTCAGGTTATGCGTTTATCCGAACCCGGTAGCTTTGGTACGGACCCTTTATGTATTTTAAAAAATTCATTAAATAAGTACAAATAATTGATTCCAGACCCAGTAAATCAAATGAGTTATAGAATCCCGAACTCAAAACCATAGAGGATCCACCTCTGCATAGAAGCGCATGCTTGGTAAGTTGGTGCATAAACATTTTAAGTCACTGATACGGTTCTTTGCGTGCTAAGAGAAGATAATGACAGCCGCATTATATGGAAAAGAAATTTTTGTGTACATTTCATTACTTCATTTGATTGGTCATCTAGTTCTAGGTGTGGCTTATGGTATGTTTGCCAAACTACTGTTTGCCTCATACCATATCAAACTGCTTAAAGTGTAATTTTTCTTGGCAGAGGGTCAGCCGTGACAATGAAAAACATGTTGGAAAATCAGTTTCCTGGTATCCATGTTGTCCTTGCTAACTATCCTCCTCCACTTCCAAAACGTTTGTTGAGCAAAGTAGTTCCCGTTTTCCAATTTGGCGTTATTGGCCTTGTAATGGGTGGCGAACAAATATTTCCTAGGTTGGGATTTGCCGTACCACCTCCATGGTTCTATCACTTGCGTGCTAACAGATTCGGAACTATGGCAACCACTTGGCTCCTGGGAAATTTCTTTCAGTCCATGCTGCAAAGCTCTGGTGCTTTTGAAGTGTATTGTAATGGTGAACTGGTACGTACTTTTTCTATCTGTTAATGTTTTTTTAACTTTTTCCTTGAGTTTAAAAAGTTTGGGAGATGATTACCATTTTGTGCCTAAAACCATCTGATTTAGGAGAAAAGAAAATTCTGGAAAATCATCTTTACTTGAGACTGGATAGATGTCCATCTAAAAGGGCTACTTGATGATTTTAGATATTTATGTTGCACTATCTGCCATTCTCTATTCAGATAGGATATATTAATTTTTACTATGTTCACTTCTTTGCCTTTTCGGAACTGAAATGGAACTTTACTTTTAATCATCTGATATGGGACCATGAATATAAAACACTGACCTTTAACTCTAAGCACACCTCTCATTCTCTTTCTCTTTCACCTGCTCACAGAGGGAAAAAATTGCTTAATATAAATTGTGGTTCATTTTCAGAAAATGTCCAATTGGCATGTTACACTCACTTTTCAATGATGTAAATTTGGCGAGGATCATCTTTGAGCGTTGCCTTTATATGAAAGATTTCAAGTGTATCTTAACTTTTGAAGTATCAAAGGTTCACAGAAATCTCTGTAGCCCCTATAGCATGTGATATGTTGTTTTATATTGACTGCCTAGAATATTTCAAACTTATAAGGCTTGAGAATGTGAGTCAAGATCGGGTCCATTTACATTTCTTGTCTTTTGCATGACCTGAGGTATGGAGTCAGCTGTGTGTCCAGTTAACAGCATAAATTGCAGTCTGTTAGTAGGATGTCGGGCAATTTGAGAAAATGACTTGATTACATTTTAAAATCTCAAAAGCACAACTACATTGATTTAGAGGCAATGCCATGCATGACTGCTCCACCTATTATAAGATAAAAAAGCATTTGGCTGCCTCTGCCAACCTGTTAGCTTTGTACTGAAGTGGTCCATTAGGTGGGGTAATTATTACCTCCTCCGTCCCATTTCATATGGAGGTGTTTAACTAGGCACAGAGTTTAAGAAAGAAAGAAAGACTTTTGAAATTTGTTGTCCAAAATAAGTCGTTAGAAACCATCTCATTAAGGGTATGATGGGAAGTACACAATTAAACTGTTTTTAAATATAGAAAGGTGTCATTCGTTTTGGGACGGTCTAAAAAGGAATGCCCACATAAGTGGGACAAAAGAGAGTATCTTTTTTTGTTGTTGAGAGTTATACAATAGACGGACACATCATCGTCGAGGGACAAATAGATTTTTCGAACACCTATACCTGGGCTTTTGTAGATTATTTCTTTAATTTCACAATTATCGGCAATTCTTAGAGAAGTGTGAATTTTCAAGAACGAGAATTATATGATATGTTGCGTATCTCATATGATAATCACCCACTCTTGAAACTATCCTAATGCCTAAAAATTGGATTGTATGGCCCTTCTGTAAAAATTATATTGCGGCCCCATTTTTTATGAAATACAAGATGGTCTTCGAGTGATAAGAAAGTTATTTCCACTTGAGACAATTTCAGACGCAGCTGAAACTAACCTCTTGAGATATTTTATTTTTGTCAAGCGCAAGAGTAATTGCTTTTTTGTGTTCCTTCTCAGCAACATTACTGTGTACTGGATTTGTTTCTTCAATTCATAGCAAATTAGCAAGTAGCTTTCTGTAAATTCTTGTGTCACCTCTCACTGTTCAATTTTAATTTATTTGACAGATTTTCTCTAAACTGAAAGAGAATAGGTTTCCTGGCGAAATCGAGCTGAAAGATCTAGTTGGCAGAAGGATTGCTAACCCAAGGGTAGTGGATGGACTTGGTGCATCTTCCTGGTCGTAGAACTGGAGATTTCACTGGTTCCACATTACCTTAGAGATCCTAACCTTGTGGTCTTCCATTGTAATAGACATACATACAATGAAAAGATCCAACAGCATCTTCTTTAGAAATTGTTGATTCGCGGTTAGATAGCAAAACTTTTTGCAAAGAAACTTTCAACTCTAGGGACTGGTTCTGGTATTGATAAAAATGACAATCTCTTGAAGGGTTTTCCTCCCACAAATCTTTGTGACAAACTTCTATATTGTATAAACACTTTCTCCTGAAAATCCAACAGTATTTAGTAGAACTTGAATGGATAATATGCTTTATTGTCATTAGACATTTGTAGATTAGAGATGCAACCTTTCATTTTACCTTTCATCTCATCTTTGCGATGTATATGGAGACATGATCAAGCGTGATATTGCTACTTAACGGTAAATCTGTGCAATGTACATGCCTGTGCCAGGAGGAATGAACTTTTTTTCTTAACCGTCTGCGACCAAGCCCACGAATAAGAGCCCGTTTGGATTGACTTATTATAAGTGCTTTAAGCCAAAATTGCTTTTAAGCCATTTTGTAGTGTTTGGATAAAGTAAAAAAGTATTTTTAAACACTTATTTTTAAGCTAAAATGACAAAAATAAGCCAAAAGCTAGAATTCCTAACAGGCTCTAAGAACCAAATAACAAACTGAAAAGCACTTCTGCCATATATGAATGTCTGCTCTCAGTTGTAGTGACGGTTGATCTGAAACTAGACTGGGTAACTTCAAAGGTGGTTTCGATGTTAGATTCTAAAGAACCAACAGTTCTATTAGTGATCCATATAAAACGAGCTGTCTAAGGTCGAGGTTTGAAGATGCTTCAATCCAATATAAATAGTAAAGCATATACGTGCTTTTATTGTTGGAAGGAAAACATGTTTCATCGATTTTCAATTACACAGAAACTCAAAGATCTAATACATGTTGCACTTTATAATTCTAGGCCGTCATTGGATTTTCTGTATACACACTTCACAAACAATATCAATGACATCCGTTACATGCATAATTTTCCTTTGCAGGCAGACAAACAGACTGGAAATTAAGAAAAAATGCTAGGTTATTCCTTCAAGAATAACAAATAACCTAAGCTACTCTCTCATTTAGTTGCTTTAACCCAAAAGTTTTCAAAGGCAGGCCGATCTATACAGGTTATATGCACTGATATTTTCTTAGGTGTAAAATGATGAATCTTCTGTTGCCAAGGATGATTAATAGCAAGGAAAAGGCCTATCTTCATATTTGCCACCATTTGCGATTGCGATTTTCCATTACCTTGACAAGCTCATTTGCCAATGATGCAAAGTCTTCCGCCTCACTGCGTAGTTCGTCAGTTCTTTGGCTAATTCTCTGCAAAACCATATAAAGTTATATCATCATAAACCAGAATAAGCAAGGTTTGCACAAGAAGACTGTTTATACAGTGTGCAGAACCAGACAACGGCCAGGGACCAAGTTGCAGCACAAACACAAGAATGAGCATATTATCTTCCAGAAAATATGCAACTTACAGGTTCTATCCCCCCCTTTCTTTAATCTTTAAACCATGAGCGGTCTTAGCTTGATATACTCACACAACTAATTTTGGTTACAAGCAAGAATTTATTTCATGTATTATCATGCTCAATGAAGGGGAACCTTGGAGCAACAGTAAAATTGTCTCCGTGTGACCTATAGGTCACGGGTTCGAGCCGTGGAATCAACCATTGATGCTTGCATCAGGGTAGGCTGCCTACATAACACCTCTTTGGGTGCGGCCCTTCCCCGGACCCTGCATGAATGCGGGATACTTTGTGCACCGGTATCATCATGCTCAATATTTCGTGTTACACGTGTATCTTCACCATTTTAAGTACCTCAAGTTTTTCTTGCCGTTCTAGAAGCTTGTTTCTAGCTTCTCCAGCCGCTGATGATGCATCCTGGAAGATATAATGATTGAATGACAATGAGAACATTTATTAGACACAGTGGGGAATGAAAAGGTTCTAACACCGACAAATATTACTACCCCAGCTTTTCTATATTTTGCTATGATTTCTTCACGTGTCCTAAGTCTGGGCTTGGCATCGTCACCCTCAGAATCAAGCAACTTCCCTCTTTCAGTTCCTGCAATGTACAAGGAAAATATTTGTTATTATGAATTCTGAAAGTGCAGATGACTTATTTGATGCAAGTTACCTCTTTTACTATTTTGTGTGCTATGAGATGAAGTAGGAGCCACAGGGACAGGGTCATCAATTTCAATATCATCTGCGTCAGAAGTAAATCTTCAGTTAGGGGCACGTCAACTACAGAAATGCTGTATAGACCAATATATAGGGACAGAAAAGTGTGTCACTCTTGAAGAAGCAAAGAATGTAGGGATATTACCTATATCGAGCTCCACTGCTCCTTGAACTTCCTTACTGATAGTTGGGGACGGTTCTGGGTTGAGTGGGTTCTTCATAAAGATACCTTCCAGATGACTAAAGTTTGACTTAGACCTCTCGATGAGATCCATATTATGGTTCGTTTTTCCCACTTTAAATCCTTTAACGAGAGTACCAATAATGTTTGGCCCACTACCCTGCAGCAACATTGATAAGAATTCAGCCACTGCAAAATATAGACCACAAGGAAACATCTTTATCAACCAGACCTGTTTCTTCTTCTGAGTGGAGAATTTGATGGCAGCATCTGCTGCAGCTGCGAGCACTTCATCATGGAGAAACGGCAAAGATTCTGGAATTCTGGAAAACGCATTGCTGAATCAGTAATTTTGAACAATCTATGCAGCTCATGAGTAAGCTATTCACTTGATGGAAAGTAGCACTGGTTGATCATATACCTGAAATCATTTTCACTAGCTAATAGGGACACGAAAGCCAGTTCAGAACCATTTGCCTGATATTTGTTATGACAAAGATGTTAAGAGGCCATGCAAGAATAGGATGAAATTTTAATAAGTATAGAATAATGCTGAACAATAGGATGATAGCATGCACTGCAACTTTTTTTTACCAAGGTAACATGGCCATTCTCCATGGAACTCATCGCCCTGTCCATATTTAGCTTGAAATTCCACCTTAAAACTGACATTAAGGAGGTCTGCTCCACCAACTCTAGATCAGGCAAAGATCTGGAGATATATACATGTTAGCAATGTTCTAACACACAGTTCTTTTGTAATATATTATCTAGGACATGCAGCAAAGAAGCAATCCTTCATTATTGACAATAAGGAATTGTACAAGGCACATAAAACTTGCACATTCAAGGTGCATTTAGTATGATGTAAAACTTTTCTTAGATCATTTTCCGACATTTGGTTAATATAAAGGTAGGTGACATGTATCGAGCAATTCTTGTCTCCACCTCTAATGCTAGAAGATGGGGTATAGGGCATCAGAAAATATTTTGGAAATGGAGCAGTACTAAGAGCTTACAACAATGTTTATGTGCTGATTGAAGGAAGTGATGTATGGTACGAATTGTGATAATTGTACAGGAAAATGACTATACGAATTAAGATACTTTCAAAGAAAATATGAATAACATCCATAAATATCACGAGTAAATTTTCTCCATTTGATGTAAACTAGTTTAGGATCGAGGTGTAGTGGATTGACTGGTTGATGTGTTTATTTTCTTGGAGAGAAGATTTTTAACAATTTAAGGCAGCCAAATACTGGAGAATAATCTGATTATGCCTTACTAACATCCTTAAAGTTGGGAAATGGTACTTGCTGGAACATTTACGAAAGAAAAAGCTTACCTAATCTCGATATCTCCATTCTGAAAGAGTAATAGTAGCCCACAAACTTTCCCATCGTTCATAAAAGTAGTTGTCCAGCAACAAGGTTTGTCGAGCTTCACTTTGCAAGCAGAATTATTGTCCCCCTAGTTGGAATATCAAATGGAATTATATAAAACATTCAAGGACATAGAAATACAAGAAATCAGAAGCAATGAAAAAATATACTCACATGAACCACAGATCTTGTAGCATAAGTGCGTATTGCATCTTTACAGCAAAGTATAACAAAGGACTCCTCAAAGTGTTTCCTGGAGGGGTCATTTTGTAGAAAGGGAGTCGTATCACATTGATCACTAGTGGTCATGTCCTGTGAAGGCTCATTACTATCTGCATCACCCTTGCTGGACTGTGGCTTCTTACTTATTATACCAGAAAATGGGGTGTTGTTTTCTGAAATGCAATGAATCAACACAAAACTGAGTGCAACTTACACGTAAAAACAATTTGAATTTCTCTACAAATATGTACTTGCCTATGACATACATAGAAATTGCTGTTGACGCTTTCTTTAAATGCAGGGGCTCTGAACTGGACGTTTTACCACTACCACCATCAATTACATAGATATTTGCATCCTCAGTTAAAACGAACATGAGTTCCTCCATATGGTTTTCTGGAAGCTCTGATTGTTTTGGGCTTTTGCTATGACCATCACTATGCATAAATCTCTTTGCAATCACTGAGACCAGTGGAGAGCTACCAACAGATACGGAGTCTGTCAAGAACAAAACTGATAATGAAGTCATATCAAGCACTGCAACCTGAAATTGGAGGCCTTTGTGAATAAGTATCCACATCAATCAACAAGAGTGACATCATAAGATCATCACAAAACTTGAAGAGAAGGATATTGGGTTTCTGACCTTAACATTTTCATATCCAACTGCGAGTTTGGCTCCATGATTTATAAACTCGATCGCTCGGACGCGAACATCGAGAAGCTTTATAACAGCTCTGCAGCTAGGTCCTTGACCTTGTGCCAACTCATGAACTATGAAAAGGTATGTACCAGTGAATTCAAAGATAATAGTTGATTTTCAAAGAATTATGCAAAGTAAATCAGGAAAATATCAACATGGCAATGACATATTACTTTCTCTATCCGATTCTGTCAAACAATATTACAATTTGAAGAGTCAGACAGCTTTTTGACTGTAATGTTCTGAAATAATTTTTAAGCGCTTTCAATTTTTTTAAGTTTTAGGCTATAGTACTTTTTGNCTTTTAAGTGCTTTCAATTTTTTTAAGTTTTAGGTTATAGTACTTTTTGTGCAGAGTAAATATGTAATAAATGTCTGAAATCAATGTGAAAACTAAATGGTTTGATCCTCATACTCGACATCCCATCACTCATTTTAGGGAGAAAAAGATACTGGTAAAAAAACGTGCTGTGCAGTAGATTCAATTAATTGGCCACAAAGTAGCTTTAGATGACCGTGGAGAGCTACCTGGAGCAATAGAGGTGGTTAGAGGTTTTGCGTTGTCATAATCAAATTCAACTAAGAAAAAAAACCATAATCAGGGACAATCTAATTTGTCATTTGTGTTACGCATGTTGTGTGTGTTTAAGAATGTGTTGCGCTGTCTCAACTTGCTTCATTGGTATTATAGGGGAGAAAGTCCATGAGACCCCCACAAGACCCGGTAGAATCAACATTGTTGACTAACAAATAATGAAACCTGTGCTACAATTATACAAATATGTATTCACTAAGGCTGGTACAAATATACAAGACGAGGCCGAAAACATTCATCCAGGAAAAACTACTTCAATGGAATCGACACGAATCTTGCAAGCTATTCAGCAAGAGATCTTTGATAAAAGTTAATGTAATCTTCACTATCTCATCCAGCTGCATTTGGAGGACCAATTTCAAAGCTAAGCTGTTAATCAAATGCTAGACTTAAATATTTGGCCAAAGTTCCAATCCCAAGTTCAGTCAAAAGTCTACAAGTTTCAGTTAGGAAATTAAGATTAAGTTCAAAATTCCACCCCAAAAATTGAATGCAACTACCTGATACTAAAGAATTTGACTGTTCGAACTTATAACATTGTCTATTTCTGACAGAGATCAAACTTTTTCCATCCATTTCACAGAAAACCTCCAAATATTGCTGTAGATATTAGCCATGAGATCTTGTTGAAATTCAGTTGTCCGGATAAGGAATTTTGTAACCCAATGTCAAGCATATTCTACTATTAAGGCAGGCCATTAGTCTATGACAACAAGTTCACTGTATACTGGAATAATAGTTACATTACCTTCACTTTTAGCATCAGTAATAAAATGGAAGTTCTCCATATCGCTATGTTTGAAATCATAAAGGCGTACCTGCATTTCATGTTAATTTGGATTAATATAGCGCGGATATACACTAACACCAAATTAGAAACAGAAGAAGGTGTTTCCCACCAGACCACACTCATCCCCAACTGCCAATCTTAATGTCTGGAAGCAGAAATCTATTTTTGAAACTGAAGCAGTTGATATAACAGTATTTACACCTTTAACCTGGAAATCACCAGAGTAAAGTTCAGAGCTCCGTATTCAAATGACTAATGAAAAAACTGCTCATTAGAAGTAACATGGAACTTGTAACTGCTGTTTCAACCTCATTATCCAAAACACAAAGGAGACGGAAAACCGCATGAGTGGCATCCCACATCCTTACAGATCCATCTTGATAACCTGCTATATAAACTCTTTGAATCCTGTTAGTCTCAGCTTGAGAAATATGATTATACACCCCTCCAGTCAAGGGCCATCCGTTAGCCCCAGATGATGTTGCTGCGCAAAACTTCTTGAATAAAGGTGTCTGGTTAAGATACAAATCCCATAAAAATCTAAATGAGAAATAAGTCCGGATTTTTAGAAAAATGAGAAGGGGGGAGACAATGATACAGGGAAGCAGCACCTCTTGAAGAGGCTCGGGTAAGTTTCCATCTGAATGCAACTGTGTAAGCTTTGTCACAGTCATGGAAGGATCAACTGTCGGTAATTCTACAGGAAAATCCTCAGCTGATAGAGATATTTTCTTCAACTCTTTGGATACCAAGTCAGACAAGCTTGAACAATCAAAAAGTTTTAGTTGTCCAGGACTCATCAACACAAATAAAGCAGCTTTTTCATCAGTTGCTGCTGTCCCGGTAGTTGGTAATAAGATCGTATCGGCAAATGAGCCACTAAGAGTGAGGTCAACACGACCAACACATTTCAAAGTCTCCATTCCAGATGACCAATCAAGGGTAAGAATCTGCAGCAGCAAAGCAGAAGAAATTAATGTTTTTATCATTACACATGATTATGTTTGAGAGTGTAGGTAGTATGATGGTATGTAATATCCCTAGAACACAATTGGCACCCAACAGAAGTTTAAGAGCTGTTGTTCAAATTCTTTCCCCTCTCTAGGGATGAAGGCCGAGAGCTGAATCTGTGAGGACTTTTACCACTAGTTCCTAATTTAGAAATGTATCCTCCCCTAAACACTTAAACCTTCAAATTGCAAACAGTCAGAAAATATAAACGAACTAGAATATAATGAAGATTGTAGGGAAATGATACTTTTCAAAGCAACCTTATGTACATATGTGCACTTCTACTACCATAGATTATTCATTATTCTGACTCACCTAAGGCAGTTTTCTGATAACCCAATTTAGCATTTAAAATTGATTGGAATTGATCGATAGATGGGTTAGAAATGTCAAATTAAAAGTTCTCTACACGTCAAGCACCAGTTTAAATGTTATATAGATTTTAAATCATAATCTGTTTTGACTCATTGAAAATGTTACAACAAGAACAGCTTGACTTATCTACTAAAACTCTAAAATGGTAGATTCCATTAGATATCAAATATACTTATTCAATCAAGATCATTTCATACTTCAAAAGCCAATATATATTACAATTTGGAAATACACACACTAAGATATAGCTTGACTTTTATTTGTCCTAAAGTGCAGTTCAGTTTGACCCAGAAATGCAACATTTTATAATCTTGAGGTACAGAGAATATTGAAACAATTAAGTCTACATGGCTAGCGAGCCTACGTATAGCATAATGATAAAACAATAATGAGTATTTCAGTGATGAAGTGTAAAACTTACCGTAATGACTTCATCGGATCCTATTTCATCACCGCCATAAATGAGAAGATGGCCATCGCTGCTATTCCGGGATTTACTGTTCGCCCACCAGTGTAAGACAATGACAGGAAGCCTTTTTTCAGCAGAAGACAACTGTAGCTTAACAACATTATCAAATGGTCCAGCTTCTTGACCTTTGCTTAAGGTTGATTTTGATGTTTTCCAAAACAGAATATCTCCATCTATGTACCCAACAGCAAGAACGGATCCATCAGTGGATGCCCAGCAAAGTGTGGTTATCTCTTTCTCCTCAAATTCATGCTTCAATAAATCATCAGGAGAGCTGGAATCTGCATTCTTTCTAAAGTTTACAGCACCATCCTTCAAATGGAGATCTTTATCACCTTTAACAATGATAACATGGGCTTCAACGACGTCCCATAGTATAATTAAACCACTCTCATATGCAATCAATAATCTGCAATAAATGTAATCAGCTCAGGAACTTATAAGCAAAAACATACTCAAGATTCTAACAGAACCCATTACAGTTACCAAGTCATAAAGACAAAGCGACACTACGTAGAGAAGGATGCATCACTCGTGCTTCATTTGATACAACTGACTGCCGTACAGCAACTGACAGATTTAGTGCCACCAATAAAGAGGAATAATAGTTTCTTACCAGTAAATTATACCTCCTCCACCATGCAATTTTGCCTAGTACTTACCCAGGCACTTCCTATCGATTAATAGAAATATACTACTTTCTTGGTTTTTGGTTCTTACTCAGAAGACCGCAACAAAGGAATTTTGGCCAGAGAAGACATCTACAATAAGACCAAATGGTAAATGAGTGGAGACATCACTTCATCTATACTTCTATAGCTTTCACTACATTGCCAAGCTTCTTATAACCAAAATATACTGGCATTCTGTAATCACTATTAGAAATTGCTCAACAACAACTCTTTTTTATCCCACGAGAACCACTTCTTTTATCCCAAAGAACCACCGAATGCCACCTCATAACTGGGTCATGTATCTTGGGAAAAAAATCTGTAAGCCAGGATAGATCTTTCTCCGTTTTTCTTGCTTCATTCACATTTAAGATTCTCCAACTTGTATGTCAAAGACCAGCAGCGATTAACATAACATATACCATGCAAGACAATTAATAAGGACAAAATAAACAAATGCAAAAGGATAGGGCTTAATTTGGTTAACACGAGGTTAGTGAGGAGTGAGGAAGAAACTATACACAATAATTGTGACTTGCCTATTTCCTGACGTAAAAGGTTGGGGGAGAATTCCAACAACTGGTTGATGATCTGAATTCGCAAAACCAGCTGCTTCTGCAAAATAATGCAAAAAGAGGTTTGTTGAATTATAAAAGCACATGAGAATTTGATAAATAAGATTCTTTAAGACAAAAGAACAAACGTGTTGTTAGGTACTCATGAGATTAAATCAAGCCAATCGGTATTCTCTAAACAAATTAAATATGCTTGGTGGAGATGCTTAGTCTGATAGAAAGATCTGAAATCCCAAAATAGAGCCAACTGTCTTCATGTGGCCATAATTTTCTAGAGAAGCTAGTTCAATCACATACATCCCACATATATTAAATAATGTAGGATCTGAAACCAAAGCTACTCGAGGTTGATTGTATTAGAAGAAATTAGATCCAGAACTAATGTACTTGAAATAAAGTTATGCCAGAATAAGGTAGAGGAGGTGAAAACCCTATAATAAAGGAGAAGATATAGTTGTGTTAATTACAGGTGCATATGGTACCAGCAAAAAGCTCATTGAATAGCCTCTATTACTAGAACAGATTATATTAAACGTAAGGATTGTGTTTCTTGGAGGCTGGCTACAAAATGGTTCAACCATTGTATAATGAACGTGAATCACTTCTGAATCAAGAGACATGCCTGTGTATTGTCATTGCACGAACTAGGCCTAATTATCTGCAATTTGCATCCCTGGACTTTGGAATACGGAAATGCATATCTTGGTACAGCCAACCTACAGGTTTTTTTAGTAGATATCCTGATTCCTGCCTTAAACATGAATGAGCTATTTGTGCTTGTAAATCCAAAGTTTTAACATCCACCAAGAAATAGCTCAAAGTTCAAAATACTCTACAATTAAAAATTATCTCAACTAAACAAGAGTCACTTTACAAGAATAAGAAACAGACATAATCATATAAAATAATGGATCAGATAAAAGATTTTTCACTAAGATCATGCAGTAAGCACCAGAAAGAGAACTCCACAAGATCTGATATGGCAGTTGCAGAAGCTCTCTGTTCTCAACACAGAACTTCAAAACTGAGATTGTTCCATATTCATCTCCAACATACCTGGAATGACAGGAGAACTTTATTATAAGCGTAAAATACTCTCAACTCTTTGCACTGTAAAAACTTTCTTGTATTCACATCGAATTCGTACATGAAGGAAGAGCCATTGATAACTGAGAAAGCAGTTATATTTGATTTCCATTGCAAATCACAAGCTACAGATCTGCTTTTGAGATTCCAAACCTGCAGAAAATCAAGAGAAAGAGAAATCTTACAGACCTACTAACCACAAACAGTTCCTAACTCATGTTTCACAGGGGCCCTCTGAGCACCAACGTCAGTGCAACCTTTAATGAAAGATTTTTCTTTTGACTTTTCTTCTGGGTTTCTTCTATCTTTAGGGGCGGGGTTTGCAAAGAGGTCTTCCTTGGCCATTCAAACTGTTCTTGCTTTCAAGAGGAATGCACCCTTGAAAGGAAACCATTCACCAGTCAAAGTATACTTGCTTTGAGGCAAAACATAAAAAAGCAGAAAATCATGGAAATGGTCTTTTTATAATTTTCGGTAGTGACGTAATTTAATTGGTGATTACTAGACATTTGACATTATACAACAAAACTTCATTAAACCGCCGGGCAATATTTCACATTCAACATAAATGTATAAGTGTCTCTGAGAAACACATGTTCAAGGAAATGAATGGAGCAGGTTTTGAGATTAAGCAAAGTGAGTCATAGTGATTAAACATGAGTTTGTTCAAACCTCTTGCATCATTGTGTTTTTACCATTGCAGCTGAGGGATCAATGTCCAAGGTACAATATAGCAGGTTTTCAAATGAAAAACGAGTCAATTCACCACACAATTGTAGAGATTCTGCCCTGGGTAATTGCAAGATCCATCAGTTGCTTCTTTGTTTTTTATTTTCTGGGGGATATGTTAGGTACAATTTCATTAATTATAGCACCAAGTGTGTGCTCAAATACAGTAAAACGGTGGATTTAGAATTTTTTTAGTATAGAAGAGCGTATGAAATCCAATATAGAACCTATGTTATATACATTTTTCACATTACACCAAAATGTCATTTCAAGAAAGTACAGTTGCTATACCTCCTAGCAATTATTCTCTTTACGGTATAACTAGAAGTAATGATCTCTCATAATTTGTAGATGCTATTTCTTGTTTACTATCACTAAGGATACCAACAAGTTCCAGTGAGACCTTAATTCTTTATGTACATTATATGCTTTTTCACATTCTCCTGGCAACCCTAGGAACACTTAACCAAGATATTATAATATATATGGTAGAGCTAGATCCACCAACCTAAAGCAAGACTTATATAATTCACTTGCTTAGGCAAGGTCATGGCGCGACCAAGCTCATGCAGGAATTCCTTGATTACAAATGCCAAAATTAACATATCTCAGCAGAGAAAGCAGAGTTGATAGGGCCATCAGGGACACCTGGAGGATGATACCAGCTTGTATTATATGGTGCCTATGGACTGAAAGAAACCTCAGATGTTTCGATGGAGTCTCAACTCCAATACACTTGCTAAAGGCCAGATGTTTGCTTAGTCTTTTTTGATGGGCCAAACAGTCCTATGTAAATAACTCTACTGTCTTTTTAGATTTTGTCTTCCTCACTCTAGACTTGCCTCTTTAGCTCCAGACCCTATCATAACATCTTGTAAAGGAGCTAGCATCTCTATTTTTGTAATCACTGCACCTGTTTGATGCCTTTCAGTGAAGCAACTTACTTTATTTAAAAAAAAAAAAAAAGAACCCGAGGAACAGACAAGAAATACAATACAAACTAAGGCGCCAAATTATGTTCAGTTTCCCTCATTTGATTGGCATTTGAGAATGCCGCACCAAGAAGGGCATTAACCCCCCCCNCCCAACTTATTGGAAAAAATATTAATACCTGAATATCATTTTCATTTGTGATGCTGACAAGAAAACCCTGGTTTTGAAGGAACTGCCACAGACAAAAACAGAAATAAAAGAGAACCGATCAAACATATACCTTGAGATTGTAAAAGAGAAGGATTAAAGGAATCATGAATATGATACAAGGGCAAGATATGAAGACACCATCAGTTTATTGGCGTTACAGGAAAATAGTGAGCCAGATTTTTTTAAAAAATAATAGCAAACTTTCGTATTATTCAGCAAAGAACCTTTTCTATGTCTGACCAATACTACCCAAAATAGGAAAAGAGAAAAGCCGGATGTTACCTTTGACAAACAAGCAAACACCTAGCCTCAAGGATGAAAAATGCCCCAGTGGGATTGAACTTCCTTTTCAAAAGGAAAAGAGAAAAGAAAAAAGTGAATACCCTTTCCTACCTTGTATCATATACCATAAATGTAGGCCCTTTTCAGTTAATTGTCCTCTTATTCTAGGTAAACCCAAGGAATGCAACACTAAAAACAAAAATGGTCATCATTGGACTTTGTCATCCAAAAGTATTGGAGTGACATTTTGATTAAAAACCCAGCTCTTTATTGACTTAGCTCATACACCTGACATTATCAATTCTAAAGACCATTATCTCTCGGAAACTCTTAAATATGTTGATAAGGAAACCAGGCTCCAAAGGTGTTACAAAATGCTCAAGAATAATATCAAATAATACAGACTTGGAACCTTTAGAACTGAGCTAAGAATCTCTATGAATGACTTCATGTGCAAAAACCAAACCTCTAAAAATTTATAGGGCAACTGCTTTGGAGAAATCAAGAGACCTTCAATATTGTCCCCACCAATCACTTTTACCCTACCATCCCTGCAAAAAAATTTGGATACTACGTTAACAAGATACAGCCATCAAGCCATCTATGTAAATAGTTTCTAATTGCAAGATAGTATGGACAGACTATAATATGCATTGAGCCTTCACCTAACTTTAAATCCATCTGAAATAGATTGTCGCTACCTCAAAATGGAAGTCCTTTTCGATCAAAAAATAAGAAAGCGCAAGAGAAAAGAAAAATGAAAATGTGTTGCTACTTCTATATTCATCTAATTAAGACTCAACTTCTCTATTGAGCTTAATATGCTNATTCCCATCCCAAAATTTTAGTCCAGTTTAGCTTCCCAAGAATAAAAACATATACCTTTGGTTAAGATGTTCAGATGTACTATGCCATAATGTTGAAATTAAAAATATCGCAATTTAATATTGTAGTACTTTTTATGTAAATTTAAATTTTGAGATGTATTATGCCATCTTTGATAGTAGAAATATCGCAATTTATAGTACTTTCATGTAGCTTTAAGTGCCTAAACTTTTAATGGTAAGTGAATTAATCTATGTCCAGAATCGGTCGAATTGGCCCTTAAAAAGCAAACATGGACTAAAAATTTGGGCAGAGGGAGTATTATTTAAAATTAACAGTGGAGGCACACAGAGGGAGTTTGTACAAAGCTAAACAGCCTAAAAAAACCATACACGGGGATCTCAGGGGCTGAAAGGTCAAGCAACACTACAGGGTACTGGTAAACGTATCATTTACTAAACCAGGGAGCGGGGGTGCCACATGACCATAACTGGCCTGCAGCCAAACAATAGTGGCTATACGCCTATTACATCCACCAGTTATCTCTTGGTGAAAATATGATTTTGACAAGCCTTAACCTTTTCTCTAGCCTCTTCAACCTTCACTGGAAATTTTCCCAACCAAATTCACTTCCAAAAGCTATCCACTGCCTAAAAGTATATACCTATCCAGAAGATGCATGCATATCTATTTGAATGATTCGAGCATTTTCTATAGCGAACCCAAAGTTTGTGCCATACTAGCTTATATACACTACGAGTATAATGGGGGAAGTTCAATGCAGAACTGAACTCTGGAAACTGAAATGATCAGGATTCAATGAGCCACTGCTTCCAAAGAAGCATATCAGGAGTAAGAATTTTGTTATGTTTGTGCACAAGGAAGTGTCTTATCAGCCAAAACAGAGTTAGTGCTTTACTTAACAGCTGAGCTAACAGGCTTCTGTCCATATTAAGTGCATAAAAATCAAAACTTTGACTCACAACGTTCCAATGGCCAATAGGCGCTGGATGGGATCTACTGCAAGAATTGATGCTGTTGACGGGATACCATAATGTACAGTAGCACAAACATTCAGGTCACTTGCTGTCAAACCACTGCCATTTCGCTGAACACAAGAAAAGTTGAAATAAAAGAATCACTCCACCAGCTACATTCAAGTCTTAAAAAGTCAAATGGAATGAATACCATAGCCAATTAAGCACCAATAGAGTAACAACGACCAAATAAATTAGCATCACATTTTCTAAAAACATTGCCCTATATATTGCTATTCAGTTAGTAATGCACTATATGTTGTTCCACATTTTTCTTCCATATTTCTTGGAGATTGTAATGAGCAGTGGCAGAACTAAGTGTGTTGAAGGGGGGTTTAATTGAATCCCCTACATCAAAAAATTACACTGTACTATTAGGGTACACGGAATTATTATATATATAAATTGTTGAATCCCGTATATAGTTTTTTTCTTTTTCTTTTTTGATAACTAAGACATCCCTGAGGGCCAGTGATGCATCGTTTGAAACTGGTGGATAATGGGTCCGCCCCTCTATCCTTCTCCACTTAAATACCAGGCTTTCGTTGGCGGCAAGATTCAAACCCGTGACATGTGTTAGGATTTGCCCTGAATTTCTAATTTATTGGGACTCTCTTTCTTGGAGGAATGAAAAAGACTCCTAAAAGGAATAAATCTCCTTAATATGTCTTATCCTTTTCTTGGAAGACAAGTTTTGCACATCTATAAATTAAGGATCTCTGCTTCTCACAAGAGCACAAAAAAATATCCACAATGTAGTTATTAAAGAGTTTTATCCAGGGGGAGATTTTTCTCTCGATAGTTTTTCTTCTTTTATATTAGTTTTATCATATGTAGATTAATGGACCACACCATTATAAATTATTATGCTTAGTTTAGTATATTTTTCTTTTGTCGTCTGATTTATCGTCCACCAAGCTTTGTATTGTTAGTTTCCGCATGCACTAAGTTATTTTGATCCCAACAACATGTGCCTAACTCACACATCACAAGTTGTGCTCTTACCACTAGAACAAAGCCCTAGGGGCAAGATTCGAGTCCCATGTATTTAAGTCATTCACTCACTGTTTGCAGCAGGATTCAAATCCCCTTGATAGTTAAGTCACTCGCTCGATGTGCAAGTTTACATTTTTTTAGTTCCCTTGTTAGGATTCCTGTCTCCGCCACAGGGAATGAGATTCGAAATCATACATAACAATCAACTTAGCGTCAATCCCAAACTAATTGGCCTGGCTATATAAATCATCTATATCAGTTCACTATCTTTACGTTGACTATCAACCTACTGCAACCATACTCTTTAATCCAGGCTTGAGACCAGCAATACCTTGCAAAGCTCAAATAGGCAGAGTTTATAAGTAACAGCTCCATAATTCCCGATATAAAACTTTTTAAAAAAAAATTCGGTGGTGTCTAGGCCAACTTGAGGTGCAGCTCGACTATTCCAACATTGCTACCTCCCATCCGCACAAGTATCAAGCAACTCTGTCCACCAAGGATTAGGCAGATGAGAAGAGTATCAAAAGCCTTCTTGTCGACTTATTTCACTATAATCCAGCTTTGATCGATCAAAATACTAGCAAATAGAATGGAAAATAAAAGGAGTTGTTTCAATTTCCGATATAGAACTCGAGCAAAGATTTTTATCCACTTATATTTCACTATGATCAGCTTCTCAATCAAATAATTGCAATTTCGCAGCTCAGTTACAACGAAGTGCTTCAATCTCGCATAAAAAATCCCTATATCATGATTACTGTTAAAATGAACATCATTATCACTAATTACAACGTCAAATCATTTCTAGAGAATCACAAAGCAGACAAAGTCAACTGAAGAAAGACCAAAAGAAACAGTACCTGATGATGTTGATTATGATGATATTGTGTGGCTTTCTGAAAAAGCTTCTTCGCGAACATGGCGAAATGAGAAGTGAAGATTTTTGGATCGGTTTCGAATTTTGAATTGGCTTAGGCGTTCGGCATTTATTTGGCTGAAATGGTATAAAATGCTTTGGAAACTATATGCTGATTGATGTATTAATTTATGTATTCCTCGAACTGTACGCTAAAATAAAAAAGGTTGGACTCAACATATCCTTGTTGCATATTTACAACCAAAAATAGGCTGTTCAAGAGAATCCCAAAATCAATTCCAACCACTTTAGAAGCTAAATTATTGATTGAAGAATTAACTCAAATAGTCGGTTAGTCGGTCAATATATAATATATATATAATTTATGTATTACATCGGTATAATTATGTATAATCAATATATAATTAATATATATGACTAGAAAAAGTAAACAATTAATATGATCGGCTATTTGGATAAAGATCTCACTTTATTTGATAAGCTGTGATATGAGATTTTTTTTAAGAAAAAGGAGTATTATCTACTTCTTACCTCCTACTATGATAGTGGTTTGACTGGGTACAATATGTTTTAAAAAATATTTTTTAAGTTTATGATTTAAAATAAGTCAATATATTTATATAATTATAAATTATTTTATTAAGAATAAAATAAAAAATTTAAACTTAAGTTATTTTTAAATATAAAAAAATATTACATTTTTAGAATAATTTAAAAAACATTGCATCACATAAATTGAGACAAATTGAGTTCAATCTTGCAGCACACTTTCTTACTCCTATTCATCTTGTAGTACACTTTCCTACTACTCAATTAAATCTTCCTTCAAAAGCATATTTTGAATTTTTGATAAAGGAGTTGGCTGGAATTTGAAAAATCAAGTAGCTAAAATAATTGGTTATACTTGAGTCGAAGTTATACACTTGAAACTGATAAAATTTGTTTATATTTCTATTTGATTTTTATTTACATATTTACTAAACTGATGGAGTGAATTTGATTTTTTTCCTTTTTAGTAAAATCATTACCATATTAACACTCCTGCCCGAAAGAAGAGGCAAATAAGAAAATCTATGCTTTTGTCCTGCTTTCCATAAAAATATTAATAAGATATGTGCTTGATATTATCACTAATAAATTATGGAAACATTGATGGAGCCAGAAACATCGAGTCGTATTTTTATTAAGGGAATTCTAAAAAATAGGTTAGATCAAGCTTCTATTTCAAGTTTAGAGAATTCAACCCTAAAATTTATCATGTATTTTATTATTTTTAGCTTATAATATTCATGTATAATAAGTGAATATTTTGAGCAAGGAATTTTATTTGAACCCCTTGCTTGAGGTAGTTCCGCCTTTATATGGAAATTGAGCATGTTTATAGGGAAGTAAACAATGTGACGGACACTTCAGCCATGTTCGGCATGAACTTAGCTGTTTTAAATGCTTTCTATAAGGACTTTTTGGGAACTCTAATAGCAAGAATAGTCCCGTCTTATAATAACTCTTTCTAACTTCTATTAAATATAAGTATATATATAAATACTTGTCCTTATAAGAAAGAAAAAAATTCATCTTGTACATTGTATTTCATAATTTATAAAATATTCTATTTTACAAAATATTGATCAAGCATCTAGCACATTTTTGTATTATTGGTATTTGTAGTTGCTGCCATCTACATTATAGTTTCCCACAAATAGAGTAATTAAGAGCCCGTTTGGCCAAGCTGCCAAAAACTACTTATTTTGAAAAGCGTTTTTATTCAAAAGTACTTTATGAAAAAAGTACTTTTGTAAAATAAGTAGTTTGTGTTTGGCCGATTCGTTTGAATAGTGCTTTTTGCAAGCTCATCGTGTTTGGCCAATCTTTTAAAAAAAATATTTTTAAGTATCAAGAAAAAAAATAGTAAAGGTTCAATTTGCGATTAGTATTATTTAGAAATGAAAAATAAATTTAAACATTTATTAGAAAAGAATTCAATTAAAATATAAAACGTAAAGTAAAAAATATAATTTAAAAATTCTAATTAATATAAAATATAGTTATTCCAAAGCAATAATAATGAGTGTTTGGTATTACTTATTATTTACATGATAATTTAAATATATCAAAGTACATCATTCAATATAATATTAAAATCTACTCTTAAGAATAGGAGAAAGAGAATAAAAATTTGATTAAAATAAAAAAGAGAATAAATGTATAGCAGAAAAAAAAGGAAAAGGAAAAGGAAAAGAAAAATAAATTAATGAGGGATAATTTGAAAAATATAGATTTATTGTAAGGTTATTTTTGTCTTGAATGAATTAACTTTCTGCTTCTGCTTCTGTTTTTTGGAAGAAGCTAGAATTTGTGGGAAAAACTGCTTCTGCTGCTGCTAAGATATACTTTTTCATTTTGGCCAAACACCTTAAATTTTTCAAAAAGTACTTTTTTGGCCAAAAAAATATTTTTGACCTCTTAGAAGCTTGGCCAAACAGGCTCTAAGTCTTCCTCTCACCATCAATTATCGGTATTTCACAATTATTAGACAAGATAAGACTTCTATTTGTGTCTGTTCACTTTACCTTAATTAATTTGTAGTTCACATTCAAGTGCGACGTAAAAGATAGCATTTTAGACACAAATGAGGAAAAAAAAACAATATGAAACCACCTAACGCAAGATCAATGGACAACACTCATATTGTGAAATACATATTAATTAATTGTATTTCAAGTGGTAAAAGTATATTTAGAAGATGTACTGACATTTATTCATTGATTTAGCATAAATACCATGTATGGATTATTTTAATTTTCTTGAGCCGAGGGTTTTTTCGGAAACATCCTCTCTACTCCTTCGGGGTAGGGGTAAGGTCTGCGTACACACTACCCTCCTCAGACCCCACTAATGGGATTTTGCTGGGTTGTTGTCGTTGTGTTGTTGTAGAGTTATCATATGTCTATTAAATAAAAGTAAGGTCAACAATGGGGATGTAGCTCAAATGGTAGAGCATGCGAGAGGTATGGGGATCGATACCCCGCATCTCCATATATATTTTATATTTTCTTTCTTTTTAATTGGACAGTATTCGTATCATCTGCTTTTGAGTGATGCTAGCTGATTGCCGAACGCGAGTAATTCCAAATTCTTGAACCTTTCTGTTTTCACGTGGAGCTCCAAATTTGTTTCTATTTTGCCTTTGCTCAATTAATTTTAATTTTCTCTGGAAACACAAGGCCTGAGGAGTTGAGACCTTGTAAAATATGGAGCACTATGTAGTTACGTTTTGTAACTCTTGAAAGAGAGAAAAGACAGTAATATTCATTTGAGATTGCATTGTTAGAAGGAAGTCTAAATAGGATATAGAAACAATCAGCATTAATATTACCTTTATATTAGTTGTTTAACCTACTGCAACCTGTTCCTTATCCGGATTTGGAATCAATAAAGGCAATCTCACACAGGTGTAATTATAGACTTGAAACCAACAATATGAGCATTAACGCACAGACATAATCGTTATTATCGTGAAAAATGCTGACAGAAAAAAGGGAAAACGCAATACTGGTAGGAAATAGCAAGATTTTAGATTTATCTATGGAGGTTAGTGGTTTAAGTATATCTCTAAAAATATTATTTAAATGTACCCATTTATCCTGCTTATTTGAATGACGCGTGGATTTAGCCAAACATATCCTGCAAATTAAGAAAAGCCAAGGACAAAGGGCATCAGTATGCTAATTTAATGATAGAAAACTAGTATAGCGTTAGAAGAAAAGACAAGATTTATTTGTGGTCCATCACTTCACTATAATTCGGATATAATCAGACTCTAATATAAATATCGGACATCGAGCGAAAAATCAAAAATACAAAAAATGTTTCAATCCACTCGTTAGCACTTCGCGTTCATATATGCAGTGTCCCGAAAAAGGCCACGTTCATATATACAAGGTCCAGAAAAGGCCGTATTTATATATACAGAGTTCCGGGAAAGACTGCTATCTCAAAAGAAATTTGAATAAATGGGTAAAGATAAACTTGGAGTGTTTATGAGGTGGGCCTCAAACAAATACTCCTCTTGTCCTGTTGGGCAGTGATGTTTTCACTTTCTTTGAAAACTAATAGGAAAAAAGACAAGCTATATAGAGGCAGTTAAAACACAATCCAAAGACTACAATAAATTTACATCTAATAAAAGCAACAAGGTAAAAACTCCTATGAAAAAGACAAATAGAGCCAATTAAAACACAATCCCAAAGATAAAAAGAAAGAAAGTAACCTCTTATACTTACCATTCACCCGAGTAATTTCTACCTATATTGCTTGAACTTTTTAAAAATATTATTGCATTATATTCTTATCAAATTCTTCAAAGAAACATTATTTTCGAGAATTCGACACGAACCTAGCAACATTTTGAAGAATATAGCCTACAATTACAACATAAGCCTAATATTGGTGTAACAAAAAAAAATCTTTATCTTACAAATATTATCAAACAAGTCTCAAAACCAACACAAAACTTCTAATTTATCATGATTCAGTCTTCAAAAATTACCCGGAAAAAAAAAGTGAATTAAAAATCTACCGACCATCTAAGGTTTGCATTTGCAGTCTCTCTGCTTCTGTCTGCATTCCCAACATCCTTATTCTCAACTGAAGTTGTGCTGCAGCTGTCAAAAACCTCAAACTCTGCAAAGGATTTAATATCCCCACCACCCTCTCTGCTGTTCTTGTCCTTAATTTATCTGCATCTGTTATCACATTTTCTAGAGCTGATCTTAGTGTCTCTATGTTTTCATCCACTTCTCTTATTTTTCCACCATCCCCTGTTATAACATAATTTAATTAAATAAATAATTATGATGACTCTCTTTAATAGCTTAAACTTTTAAATAAAATGATTGCGCATTGTATTACATCATGAAATTAGAGTGGACAAAATGTCCTAGGTTCAAACCTCAGGGTCATCCAACAAGCAAAATACTATTTGGTACGTGAAAAGGAAATCAGGCTCACACGTGATGAAGACATAACATGATTAAGTACTCCCTAAAGTACTTTGAAATGCCGTTTAAGGTTTTTGACAGACTCGTTAAGAAAATTATTTGATGACATGAATCATATAAGAGCTATTTAACTAAAATTGAAATGTTTTTAAAAAGATAGTATAAAATGATTTATTGAAGAAAAAATAGTTAATGGTTTCTTAAAACAACATTTATTTTCAACCAAATTTGTTTGGGTATAACAATATTTAGGAAGGACCAAAGTAACCCAAAAAAAAAAAAAAAACCAGGCCGGTAAATTAAGAGCCCGTTCGGCTTAGCTGATTTAGAGAAGCTGATAAACATTAGGTGCTGAAAAACACTTTTAAGTGCTGAAGCTGATTTAAAAAATAAGCAGTTACGTGTTTGGATAAAAGTGCTGAAATTAATAATAAGCAGCTGAAGAACGGGGTATACGAAGAGTTTTGTTTAAAAAGAAATATTTTAGGGATAGAATAGTAAATATTTTGGTCAAACCTAAAGTGCTTATAAGCTGAAATTTGATAAGTTGGAGGAGACCAACTTATGGCTTTTGGCTTATTTTTGGCCTATAAGTACTTTTAATTTTACCAAACGCGTAAATAAACCAAAAAGTGTTTATAAGCCAGTTTGACCAGCTTATAAGCTTAGCCAAACACTCTCTAATCCTCCCGCTATGCGGGATCCGGGAGGAGCCAGACCACTAAGATCTATTATACGCAATTTTATCCCTCCTTTTTGCGGGAGGCTATTTTCATGGCTTCAAACCTGTGATCTTCTGATCACATGGCGAAAATTTTACCAGTGCCAAAATATGCTTTATATAAAAAATTTAATTTTTATACGAGATAGTCTTACAATTCAATACCTCGCAGGAGATGAACTCCGAACTGTTGTGCTAGTCCCATAAATGGAGGGGCTGCCACACTTTCTTGAATTTTCGCCAACTCATCCATAAGATTCTTCTCTTGAACCCTTGTTTCAAATTTGAGCCTATTAATTCTCTCTACTTGATTTTGACTCAAATCATCTACAGAATTCATTACCAAGGAAAAAGCTAAACCCGGTTTAAACCCTGCAATCCATAAGTAACTTTTTTCTAATGGAGTAAACCATGCAGGAGAAAACACATTGAATACATTTCTATGAGACATTCTTGATTTTTCTTCAAAGTATTCTTGATAATGAGCTAGGACACCAGATATAAGGTTTTTAATAACACCCTCTTGTGATTCATCGAATGTGTTTTGTGCTATTATAAGTTCATTCAAGAATTGTTCTTGGCGTAATAACCAGCCTTGAAAAAAAGCCTCAAATGAACCAACAGTAATGTTGTTTCCAAATGAGCCAGGTGGCGCCATATTTGTTTTTTCTTTCCTGAGTTCTAAGAAGGGATGTAAAAAAAAGAAACAGAATAAGCAGAGAGTAGAAGAATAGAAAGAAAGTGGTGACAGTACTAGTGATGAAAGAGAGAGAGATATAGTGTAGGGTGTATTAAAGAGGGAATTTGGTTACAATAAATATACAAAAATTGATGAAAAGGGGTTTGTATTTTAGTGAGGATTGAAATGAATCCCTATATTTTTTTCTTTTTGTTGTTGGCCTGGTGTGTTGATCGATTATAAAGAATTCTCTGGAAACTTCTGGACTATATGTATCAAGTGAGGTGTCGAAAGAGGTATACTAGCAGTGTGCGAAGTCAAAATTTTCATTAAGAATGATTAACTTCTATAAAAATAAGCTAAATCAAGCTTCTGTTTCAGTTCAAGGAAATTCGACCGTTATACTTAATGCATTTTATTATTTTCAGCTTGTAATATATCTTGCATAATAAATGAATTTTTTTAGCAAGCGGTATTATTTGAACCCCTTGATTTTAAGGTAGCTCCACCCCTAACACTAGGCAATAAGAAGAAAGAGACACTTGGCGATCCTACTTGGCTTCATAAGATGAGTTCAAAAAGTTCTATTTTTAGGTGACGAAATTAAGAGGCAAAGCCTCATATGGTCGTTTAAACATGTCCTATAAGGAACTCGGTGGCACGGATTTCTATGTTCAGGAATATGAGGTTTGTATTTTAGTGGAGATTGAAATGTTGTACTAGTTTTTTTATTTTGGTTGACGTTATACTGGAATTTGTATGTATGTTGCTCGGTGGTGAAGAGTTTTCGTGATTCTTCTAGACTATGGAAAAATATCAGTTGAGAAGGAAATAAAGCATGAGAATTATATTATGGGCCGTCTTCGTGCAATGTTTTGGCACTCGTAACGTCGCTATCGGGTAGACTACACGAGTGTCAATTATGCAGGCAGCACTTATTTAAGAGCCACGGGATTCAATCTTGACTTGAGCGGTTTAGGTTTTGATGATCGATAAAGGAACACATGTATGAATCAGCTTCATAGATACCGTACACAGGTTATGATCAAAATCGAGCAAAAGGCATGCATGTGCAAGGAATAAGTATAAGTGGTTATTTCTAATAATCTTTAAACAAAAAGATTGCATATTTGATAAGGAGCATGACTTCCTACTTGTAGAGGACTTTATCCAAGATAAGGAAAGAGTTGGAAGTTGAAGATAACTAGAACTCGTGTATCACTTATGCAGACGTGATTTTAGAGTTCAAATTAATAATCCTACGATCAAGAACAAATTTAGATTAAATTGTAAGAGACTTTGCTCTCATTATCATGCATCTCTATCACGATGACAAATCTCAAAATTTAATTAAGGACCTTATCAAATTAATCAAACAATTAATAATAACTATGATAAAATAATGCCATATATTTCTTTTATATCAAATAACGTTCACAAAAATATGTTCAAATCATCACATATGAGATTGGATCTAGGGCATATCTACTATATCCCTAACAATCTCTCACTTGCACTAGAGTCAATCGCTCTTGTACTTCATTCCCAATTTCCACTTGTGCTTGTCAAACTCCTTTGCGCCAAGAGCTTTACTGAATATGTATGGAGCATTTTCCTTTCTATCAACCTTTTGAATCTAGACGTCCCCACGTCCAATGATTTCTCTTATCAAGTGATCTCTTGGCAGAACATGTTTGGATTTTTGGTGTGATTTTGGTTCTTTTGCTTGAGCAATGGCTCGAGTGTTGTCACTGCGAGCACGTAATTTTTGCCCTATATGAATTGCTCCCATAAAAACTAAGAAAATAATCTTCCCATTTTTTGCAATTTTATAGATTTTTCGTAGAATTTTTTGTTATTTGTTTGCATTTTTCTGTGCATGTTTATTTTATTATAATCATGAAAAATACAAAATATCATGTATTGCATTTAAGATTTATCTTTACATTTTTTGGATCAATTATTTAATTAGTTTCTTTATTAAAAAATAAAAATCACAAAATTGGCTTACTTTTGCATTTTTAGCCTTTAATTTTTAAAATTGTAATTTCCCTTTTAATTTAGGAATAATTAATTTTCATAAATATTTTAGTAGTGGATTAGCTTAGTTTCTTTTCAAATGTATTATTTTTAGGAGTTTTAAATTTAAGTTTTAATTAACTAAGAAGGAAAAGAAAAATAAATGAAAAAGGGAAAAAGAGAAAAGAAATCGAATTTGAAAAAAAAAAAAGGTTGCCCAAATTGGGTTGGGATTAATCCAATCCTTTTCCCAACCCAAACGCCCTCTCCAGCCCAAACGTGTTTACCCACCCCAACCCGCCTGCTGACCCGACCCGTCCCAAATTATAACAAAAAATACACACAGCTCTAATCTCCCAAGATTCAGAGATGCAGCCCCTGTTCCTCTTCTCCAAACACCCAAATTTGTCCCAAAAATCGCCAAAATTCAGGCGAGTGAAACCCAATCTCAAAACCACGCGTTCCCTCTTTCTCTCCTCTTACCATTTCTAACCGTTTCTGACAGATTCCCTTTCCCTCACATGCCACCTTCATTTTTCGGATTTTTACTCTTTTAAGATGGATTTTGAGAAAAATGGGAGGCGTTGGATTGAGTAAAATTGGATCCACTCCCTCCATTTGTCCGTTTTATCCATCAAAAGGGGGTAAAAATTGGATTCGAATTTTGGAGAATTTTGGAGATTTCTTGGAGATAAAGGGAGAAAGTTCGAGAGCACCTGAGGTCCTATATAAGAGAGATGATTTTTTCAGAGGAGGGGGGTTCTTTTTGGGAGAGAGTCTGAGATTTAGAAAAAAAAAGTTAGAAAAAATCCCATAGTTTTTCTCTTTTGAGTTCTTCTGCGTTTTTCAGTTCGATTCCGGAGAGGAAGGTTTTAAAAAATATTTCAGTTTCTTTTTGCTTTGATTTTAGTTTCGTTTCAAAAATCTAAAAAATATAAAAAAAAATCATCCTCTTTCTCTGACTTCCTTCAAAAATGAAGATTGATTAAGCCAAAAATCAAGGTTGCCATTCGAGTTTCGTCGCTGGTTTGATTTCTACTTGTCTGCTGTTGTTGTTTCAAGTATTCGTTGTCAAGTTTATTTGTATTCGAGTTCAAACAAGTTTAATCGAAGAATTTCACATTCTCAGGTTCATTTTTTGATTCTTACTTATTGTATTTGTTGTGATTAAAATATGATGAAGCAATGGGGAATTTATCTCTAGACTGATAGTTCTGTTCCGGTCATTTGATAATCTGTTTGTTGTTCGAAATGTTAAAGTGTGAATAGTTGGGAAAATGAAGCATTCAGATTATACTTTAGTTTCCAGGTTGGATCGACTCGTCTTTGGCTTATTAATACCTTGATTTGTTCGTCTTTGTTAGTACCTGTTTGACGTTCGCACCAATTGACTTCCTTGTTTCATGATGAAATGCACTTTAATCTTCACGTTGTAAGAATCATGCATCTACTGCATTCATGAGCAGCTCCTTGGAATATTTTGTCTGTCTCCTGAGGTTGTACTTGAAATAGGTTGGTTAATGATCGAGTTGATTTTCAAAAGCATATGTTATGTTCATTCTTGTTAGATCTTGGTCTAAAGTGGTGTTGAAACTAAATTGTTTCACTGATTGTACATGTTCATATTGGCTCTATTTTCCTTCTCTTGTTCGAAATTTGTCTGCATTGTTACTGCTATAAGAATTTTGCTCTTTCAAGTTGTTAAAAGGTCAATTTGAGCAATAAATTGTGCTGAAAACGCGCAGTTTTTTGGACATTTGTCTGGACTGTTAGGCATGCTGAAAATCTTCCTTGTTTTGCACTGTTGGGGCAGCATACATGCACAATTTTGAGCGTAAATTTTGCATTGATTTGGTCTGCAGCAGCTCTGAATTACTAGGCAGCTTATGTGTATAACTGAAGTTTTGTTTGGTTTCGTGATCGTTTCATTAATCTTCTCTGTTTGTGATCCTCTTTGAAAATGAAAGGTTATTTCCTTTAAGTTGTCTTGTTGCAATGGGTGTATAAGAGAATTATGATTTACTGCATCTAAGCGAACTTGGTTGTGTCCATGTGTGAGGCCTCTAAAGATATGGCAAAAATCAGCTTTCCCTGCTATGTTGATAATTGATTTTGTATTTGAAATGTTCATCACATGTGTTACTGCATTTGTATCCCATAATATTAGCTCTGGTAATATCCTGTTGGTTACATAGTTTTTGACAGATAAAAAATGACTAGATAAATTTTCAGTTGTTTCTTCTGTCTAGTTTTATTTTGGAGAATCTGTCTATTTAGTTCTATGCTGAGATAAAAGGAGTTTCAAATGGTGGATCCATATAGTTATTTACTCAGCGTTTGTTCTATCTGGCCAAACTATAAGTACACTCTTAGGTAGATTATATTTTGATAAAGGAGGAAATAGCAAATGGTTAGTTACATTAGTACAAAATATAGGCTTCCCTATTCTCATCTCTTTCCTCTTAATCAAATCAACTAAAATGAATCGTGAAGTAATCACTGAAATACAGAACCTTTTATATATATATATATATATATNTAATTAAAAGAGGTGAAAGCACATAGGTTCCAAAATCAGTAATTAGACAATTTTAATAAGCCAGGTATGATCAAAGCGACCGTGCTAGAACCACGGAACTCGGGAGTACCTACACCTTCTCCCGGGTTAACAGAATTCCTTACCCGGATTTCTGTGTTCGCAGACCGTGAATAGAGTCAAATTTTCTCGATTCGGGATTTGAAACCGGTGACTTGGGACAACATAAATTATCCCAAATGGCGACTCTGAATGATTAATAAATAATCATGTTTCGATTGTCATTTAAATTGGAAAAAACTCTCTTTAATCCCTTCCGGGGTAGAAAAAGGAGGTGTGACAGTCACAATACAATGGAATTGTACCTTCTATTGTAGGAACCACACCAAGCTTAGTTAAGAATTTTTTCATCCATACAGTTTTCTTAGCAGCTTCACTAGCTGCTATATATTCTGCTTCAGTCACTGAATCAGCTACTGTAGCTTGTTTGGAACTTTTCCAACTCACTGCACCACCATTTAAGGTGAATACATAACCGGAAATAGATTTGCTATCATCTCTATCTGAAGAGAAACTTGCATCAGTATAACCTTCAAGTTTCAACTCAGAATCTCCGTAGATGAGGAAT